TCATGGGGGTCAGGGGCAGGGAAGGGGGGTCAGGTCATGGGGGTCAGGGGCAGGGAAGGAGGGTTAGGTCACGGGGGTCAGGGGCAAGGAAAGAGGGTCAGGTCATGGGTGTGCAGGCAGGGAAGGAGGGTCAAGTCACAGGGGTCAGGGGCAGGGAAGGAGGGCCAGGTCACTTGGGTCAGGGGCAGGGAAGGAGGGTCAGGTCACAGGGGTCAGGGGCAGGGAAGGAGTATCAGGTCATGGGGATGGGCCAGAATCATGAAGAAGTCAGAGCTCCAGGAAGAACTCAGCCTCCCCAGAGTAACCCAAGGGTACTGAGGCCCCAGTGACAGAAGGGGGCTTCCCTCAGCCTAAGAGGGCTCCAGTAGCCTCTGTCCCCAACTCTGCTGCTCCTTGTTCCTGGACTTCTGATGGGCATGGCTGGCAGGGGATGGGGAGACTGGCTCCAGAGAGATGTGGATGGCATCATGCTGCCGGGTGAGGACCCTCCACTGGTGTGGTGACCCACAACACCTGATCCCACGCCCGGCTGCCCCGCCACAGGAGGAGGCCCCCTCTTAGGCCAGGTTGGGTGCTGGACCATGTGCTCTGAATGTGGAAGACCTGGCCCGGCTGCTCACCTGTGTCTTAACCGCCACCTCTGCGGGCTGAGTGGTGAGTTACAAACCGCATGGCCTGAGGCTGTATCCCACCAGGGAGCGAGGCCAGCACCCAACGCCCCAGGAGCTATGCTCATCTGCCAGCCAAAACACTGGCTCCCAGCAGACAAAGGGAAGGATGTGAGGTCTCAGGCTGGCCTCACAGGAACACAGGAGAGGAGAGAGAGGGAGCTTCCCCGGTGGACCCTCCCGGGCACGGCTGGTGGCCTGGTAAAGTACGCGCTAGAAGGCCACCCACAGAGAGCAGCTCGGCGGGCCCGGTTCTCAGCCACAGGGGTTGGGGTCCGCACACGCGTTCTGTTCCAGGTCTGGAAAACCCTGGCCGGATTACGACTGACAACAACTGGGATTAACGAGGGTTAAAGAGCCGTTGAGCATGCACCAGGCAGGTGTACATGGAAATACTGAACTTCTGCGTCTGTGAACACCGGTGCTAAGACAGGGTGTACACCTCAGACACCCGCCGCCTTCCTGGGGCTGTGAGCTGGGTGTCAGAGTAGAGACTTGTGGAGATGTGGTGGCACCGTCATGGGCCCAGAGGTGCTGGTACCCTTGGGAGAACAGGGACCACCCTGGACACACTGTGTCCCATGTCTAGCAGAGCTCCAAGGCAGCCATGTGATCCTCTTGACCCTGGCTCAGCGGGCCAGCCTGGATGCTCGACCTTAAGCTCCTTCACTTACCACACTTGTGGTGACCCCTAACCTGACCTTCAGGACTAACCCAGCCTGGCTGGGGCTAGAGCCTCTCGTCCCAACACGGAACAGACATCTGGCTCCCGCTCCTCTTGTCCAACTGGCCCATCCACCCCAGCCCTCCAGAAGCCGGGAATGTAGTGTGATCTCCAGTCAGCCACGTCCTAGAGGGCAGAGCCAGGGTGACAGAGCCAGGAAGTGCCACTCACCTCGCCGTAAGCTTCGTGTTTCTAGAAAAGGCAGAGAGAGCCTGGTTAGACACGGACTGAGACCCAGCACAGCTCTGCTGCGTCCGGTGGGGCCACTAGACACGGGTTGATGGTGCCCTGAGCTCACTCCTCTGGTCTCCTCCCTTACAGAGGGGGTCAACTGAGGCCAGGAGTGGGCAGACTGCCCCCCGTCACAGCTGGCTAGTGGACAGTGGCCCTGGTTGTGGCTCCCAGTCCCCCAAGGCTGTGGCAGCTCACCATGACCTTGATGATGCGGTTGATGGTGTCCTCGTTGATGTCTGTGGTGCCGGGCTGCATGGTGGCATAGTTGCTGCGGTACAGCTCATGTGGCGAGCTGGCGATGTCCCGCAGACCCGGCTCGTTCAGGTTGGGGTTGGGGGCCACAGCAAAGAGCCGGATGCCCTCCTCTCGCGCCCGCTCAGCCTGCATCTTGATGCCCCCACAGGGGCTGCCGGTGACGTGGCCGTCGGTGATGACCACAGCGAAGTTGACCACGCCCTTTGTGCCATGTCGCCGCACTTCCTGAGTCATGTTGCCCAGTGCACAGTCAGTGAATGTGCCCCGGCGGAAGGAGCGGATGCCCTGCAGTGCCTTGATGAAGGAGGCGCGGTCGCTGCCTGGTGGGCTGAACACCTCCACCTGGTCGGAAAAGTGCAGGCCACCGTAGCGCCAACTCAGGGCCACCTGGTCTAGGTAGAAGGCATCCTGCAGCTGGCTGATGAGCTCCGGCACGAACTGCTGCATGTGGTAGAGTAGGCTGTCGGTGGGCGACTGCATGGTGACACTCTCCGAGGTGTCCAGGACGAAGTAGACATTGACGGGGCAGTCGGTCTTCTCTGTGTGAGTGGCGGGGGCGGGGGGCAAGACGTGGTCATGGCCCTTCGGAGGGGCCTGTGGTGTGAGCCTGACCTCTGGGGGGACAGGACGTGGTCATGGCCCTGCAGGGGGGGCCTGTGGTGTGAGCCTGACCTCTGGGGGGGATAGGACCTGGTCACAGCCCTGCGGCGGGGCCTGTGGTATGAGCCCACACTGCTCATGGCTGGGCCCCCCATGGTTCCATGCATGTGGGTGGTCCTGGGCTCCGCATCCCTCTCCCCGACTCCCCCACACCTGGCCCCTCATTGCCTCCTGTGTGCCCAGAGCCCCTAGGCTCCCTGACTTTGTGTGCATGGTGCTG